AAACGTTTCGACGAGCTGAGTTGAACGGCACCACTCTTTTTTCCGGAGATTCTCTTTTTTTCCGGAGGTTCAAAATGTTCAACGTAGACCTATGGAGCGCTGGCGAGGCGCTTGTGCAAAACCCTGCGCTTCGCGCAGGGTTTTGCGGCACGCGCCTCGCGGGGAGTCAACGGTCGCTGGGCTCTGGGCTCGTAACATGATCCTATTCCTATCATCGATGAGATGGGCATCCCAGGATTCCTCCGCAGCAGCAAACACTCCATGGTTTTAGGTACGGTAAAGAAGAGAGCGAAATGGGTCTAATCTGCAAAAGTCGGATCTGCAAGTGTCATATCTGCAAGTGTCGGCTTCTGCAAATGTCGGGTCTGCAAAAGTCTGGTCTGCAAGTGTCGGGTCTGCAAATGTCATATCTGCAAGTGTCGTGACACGATTTATGGGAGGGTTGGGCCTAAAGTCGAGTCCGGTTTTGGTCGGATCAGTATACTTATACTTGAAAGAGTATAAGTAGAACTAGAGACCGGACTGCGATTGACGGCGCGAATCATATCATTATATTCATGTTAACATGTGGAAGAATTCATTGGATGGGAGATGGAATAGAACCATCATGGAAAAAGCCCAGAACGAAGCACAACCGACTGCCCCCATACGACCCGATGATGGGTTGTTTATTTTCATTTATCGCTAAAAATTTCTATGCAGATAACAGCTAGTTTGTTCCTGATGTCGTCTCGATCCGGTCTGGAAATAATTTTTAGGAATGTCAATTTCTCTCAGGCAACTAAACTTTTGCTTACTTTTTTCAATATTAGTCATAGCATTGCTAGACTTACAAAAATAAACTAGCAGAGGCGCTGATTATAAACATCTTTTGACTAATAAAGCATATATGTATGATCGAAGAAATGAAAAATTATATACTTTAAATATTAAAGATATGATCGAGGGTAATTCAATTTTGGGGTCATCCTAAGGCCGAGAGTCATACTCTCCGGTAACTACTTAATAATTTTTGATTAACGTAATATTAGTCTAGGCAAAGCTAGACTTACAAAAATAATAAATTAGCAGCGGCTAAAAGAGCTTAAAACATAATTTAATTAATAAAGCATAAATGATCGAAATAATTAATGATTATATACTAAAGTTAACTATAAGACATAAATAGAGGGTCATTCATCTGGAGATGGTATTCTACTAGAGAGGACCAGTCTCTGTTTAATTAAGCTAAACTGGACTAGCATTCTTCCCCTTTAGCTAATACAAAAAGTTAATTAATTGGAAGTGGCTAGGATTCTCAATTGAACCTTATCTATTAACCATGCCCACGCCTGTATTAAGAATCAATTATAGCTTGTGTTTATGACACCATCCATCAGAATTCACAAGATGAGCGTAGCAAAAGTTTAGCCACTGGACAGGATTTGAACCTGCGACAACGCTGACAGTGTTTGCTCGGCTTTGCTCACACAAATGCAGGTGTTCTTTCCAAAAAAATGGCAAAATATGAAAAAATAAGGAAAATATGGACACGCCAAAATATGGAAAATATGCATAGATAACTCAAAAACGGCCTTGTCAACATATGCTAAAACTTCTACTATGCCAGGAAAAAAATGAAAATCCATATAAATCCTATCCCAAGTTAGTAGCCTACCAAGTATTTAGTCTGTTTAAATTAGTCATAGCACTGCTAGACTTACAAAAATACGTCAAAATGACAATGTGGAAAGCAAAATTCCTCTGAATTAATAAGGCATATATGGTCTAGATAAATAAAAAAATTTATATTTCAAGTTTATAGAATATTGGGTTTTTAATGTGAAAGATGTAACAAAAAGAAAATTTAAGTTTAATTGGAATAGAAAAGCGTGTGAATTTTAAAGATTTAAATAGTCACGCGATAGTTAAATTTTAGTTTAAAAAATTTATTAAAGTAATAAAAGTAGATAAAACACGGAAATCCTTCAACAGAATACATAAAAATTAGATTAATTAAAGTTACTATAAAAGGTAAGATTGCGGTTACAGGATAACCGCCTCTTCCTCTTCGGCGCGGTCTAAATGGTCCAAAGTTAGAATTATTATTGTTTATGTTATTTGGGTTATTATTGTAATTATTTGTATTATTTCGATTCCTATTTTGAGTCCAATTCTGATTATTATATCTATTTTGATTCCATCCTCTCCTATTGTTATTAAATTTACGTCTATAAAATTATTATAATTATTATGTGGTAAATGATAAGGCATGAAAATTATGTGGTAAATGATAAGGCATGAAACAGCTGCAATTTTGCGATCACTGAATCTCCATAAAAGAGATTCTTGTTCAAAATCTCGCTAGAATTCAAGAGTAAAGGCTAACATGGATATCTATGCGGGGATTAAGAGTGATATCAGGAAATATTCAGTATGTCGACTTAATCCTTCACAAAGTATTTGAAATAATTCGAACACAGCTTTGATCTCTTTGGTAACTAAACTTTATGAATAACTTAATATAGTCTAGGCATAGCTAGACTTACAAAAAAATTAAATTGATGGCGGAAATGAATTAAGGCATATTTTAATTAATAAAGCATATGTATATGCTCGAAATAATGGGAAATTATATACTTTAAATATTAGACATATGATAGAGGGTAATTCAATTTGGGGGTCATCCTAAGACAGAGAGTCTTCCTCTCAAGTAACTAGACAATTTGATTAACTCAATAATAGTCTAAGTATAGCTAGACTTACAAAAAATAAAGTACAAAAGCCAGCCAATAGTACAACATATTTTGTTAATAAAGCATATATGATCGAAATAATGAAAAAATATATACTTTATATATTAGAGTTATGATAGAGGGTACAATTCCATTGGGGGCCATATTAAGGCAGAGAGTCCTACTCTCCTGATGATGGGTGTTATTTATTTAATTTATCGGCAAAAATATTAATCTAGATAACAGCTTTTTTGAACCGGAGGTTCAAAATGTTCAACGTAGACCTATGGAGCGCTGGCGAGGCGCTTGTGCAAAACCCCGCGCTTCGCGCAGGGTTTTGCGGCACGCGCCTCGCGGGGAGTCAACGGTCGCTGGGCTCTGGGCTCGTAACATGATCCTATTCCTATCATCGATGAGATGGGCATCCCAGGATTCCTCCGCAGCAGCAAACACTCCATGGTTTTAGGTACGGTAAAGAAGAGAGCGAAATGGGTCTAATCTGCAAAAGTCGGATCTGCAAGTGTCATATCTGCAAGTGTCGGCTTCTGCAAATGTCGGGTCTGCAAAAGTCTGGTCTGCAAGTGTCGGGTCTGCAAATGTCATATCTGCAAGTGTCGTGACACGATTTATGGGAGGGTTGGGCCTAAAGTCGAGTCCGGTTTTGGTCGGATCAGTATACTTATACTTGAAAGAGTATAAGTAGAACTAGAGACCGGACTGCGATTGACGGCGCGAATCATATCATTATATTCATGTTAACATGTGGAAGAATTCATTGGATGGGAGATGGAATAGAACCATCATGGAAAAAGCCCAGAACGAAGCACAACCGACTGCCCCCATACGACCCGATGATGGGTTGTTTATTTTCATTTATCGCTAAAAATTTCTATGCAGATAACAGCTAGTTTGTTCCTGATGTCGTCTCGATCCGGTCTGGAAATAATTTTTAGGAATGTCAATTTCTCTCAGGCAACTAAACTTTTGCTTACTTTTTTCAATATTAGTCATAGCATTGCTAGACTTACAAAAATAAACTAGCAGAGGCGCTGATTATAAACATCTTTTGACTAATAAAGCATATATGTATGATCGAAGAAATGAAAAATTATATACTTTAAATATTAAAGATATGATCGAGGGTAATTCAATTTTGGGGTCATCCTAAGGCCGAGAGTCATACTCTCCGGTAACTACTTAATAATTTTTGATTAACGTAATATTAGTCTAGGCAAAGCTAGACTTACAAAAATAATAAATTAGCAGCGGCTAAAAGAGCTTAAAACATAATTTAATTAATAAAGCATAAATGATCGAAATAATTAATGATTATATACTAAAGTTAACTATAAGACATAAATAGAGGGTCATTCATCTGGAGATGGTATTCTACTAGAGAGGACCAGTCTCTGTTTAATTAAGCTAAACTGGACTAGCATTCTTCCCCTTTAGCTAATACAAAAAGTTAATTAATTGGAAGTGGCTAGGATTCTCAATTGAACCTTATCTATTAACCATGCCCACGCCTGTATTAAGAATCAATTATAGCTTGTGTTTATGACACCATCCATCAGAATTCACAAGATGAGCGTAGCAAAAGTTTAGCCACTGGACAGGATTTGAACCTGCGACAACGCTGACAGTGTTTGCTCGGCTTTGCTCACACAAATGCAGGTGTTCTTTCCAAAAAAATGGCAAAATATGAAAAAATAAGGAAAATATGGACACGCCAAAATATGGAAAATATGCATAGATAACTCAAAAACGGCCTTGTCAACATATGCTAAAACTTCTACTATGCCAGGAAAAAAATGAAAATCCATATAAATCCTATCCCAAGTTAGTAGCCTACCAAGTATTTAGTCTGTTTAAATTAGTCATAGCACTGCTAGACTTACAAAAATACGTCAAAATGACAATGTGGAAAGCAAAATTCCTCTGAATTAATAAGGCATATATGGTCTAGATAAATAAAAAAATTTATATTTCAAGTTTATAGAATATTGGGTTTTTAATGTGAAAGATGTAACAAAAAGAAAATTTAAGTTTAATTGGAATAGAAAAGCGTGTGAATTTTAAAGATTTAAATAGTCACGCGATAGTTAAATTTTAGTTTAAAAAATTTATTAAAGTAATAAAAGTAGATAAAACACGGAAATCCTTCAACAGAATACATAAAAATTAGATTAATTAAAGTTACTATAAAAGGTAAGATTGCGGTTACAGGATAACCGCCTCTTCCTCTTCGGCGCGGTCTAAATGGTCCAAAGTTAGAATTATTATTGTTTATGTTATTTGGGTTATTATTGTAATTATTTGTATTATTTCGATTCCTATTTTGAGTCCAATTCTGATTATTATATCTATTTTGATTCCATCCTCTCCTATTGTTATTAAATTTACGTCTATAAAATTATTATAATTATTATGTGGTAAATGATAAGGCATGAAATTAGTGGGATATGCTTGAATATTAGACAGTGGTACTGGATTATTACAATTACAATTTGAACACCCTTGCTCAGTTTTAACGACATTTATTTTCTCTTCGTTTAATTTTTCATTTAATTGATTTTTTAATTTTTCCAATTCCCTGCATAATCTTAATTGTTCATTTTCTAGAGATTCTTGCCTAGATTTACCAGAAATTTTTAATTCTTCCTCCGCTAATATTTTCTGATTTAGTTCCTCTTTTTGAGCGCTACTTATTGCTTCTGCTAATGTTTTTGGTTGATCCTGCCTAATTAACACTTTTCTAATATTATATTTCAGTCCTCTATAAAAGGCATCGACAATCATCTCATTCCTTTGTATTTCAGTATATTTATCTTTAGGGTAACCTTTATGACTCTATTGCTGCCGCAAACTCCGAAACAGACTCTCCGGGTTTTTGATCTCTCATTAATAACTGGGTTCTAGCTAAACAATTTCCTTGGTGATCCTGACTAAGCTTATTTGCCATACTTTTCTTAATATTATCCCAAGAATTTTTATCCGCTTCAGTCAGTAACTCATACATTGCAAGTGCTTCTCCTTCGAGATAATTAGGTAATGTTTTTGATAAAGTTTTCTCGTCCCAACCCAAAGCATCGCCAATACGACAAAACTCTTTTAAATATTGTTCCCAGTCTCTTATATCGTCTCTACCGCTAAATTTTGGTGGGATTAAGTGAGGTCTTTGTGGTTTTGGCTTATCAAGTTGATCCTTTATTTCCTGGATCGCTTGCATTAATTCTTTTAAATCCATATTATTTATTTTTATTTTATTAGATACGGGTACTAAACTTAATTCTGGACTCAAATCAGGACTTTTAGTTAAAGTTTTATTATCGTCTTTTGGTGTTAAAAATTCTAGGTCCTCTGGTGTATTTAGAGATTCAGTGGATTTAGAGACACTTTGTAATATTTTTCTTTTTTGACTTCTAGTTTGGATTATGGGCTCAAATTTTTCTCTATTATTTAACGAAATTTTTATTTTATCTAATAATTACTTTAAAATTAATTTAAATTATTTTATTTATTATATAATTATTTATTTTATCAATTCTGGTCTACTATTCAATACAATTATTTTTTTTATTTATTTTCTCAAATTTAAGATCAAATATATATTTTTTATGTCAGGTTGCCAGGTCGTTCTAACGAACCTTCGGCTTTAATTTATTTTAAATAGCAACCCTTGGCAGTGGCTGACACAAAAAATTTACTTTTTAATATTTGTATTTATTAAATTTTCTTCTTTTTCCAATTTCAAATTATTTAAATAGCTTTTATTAATCTCTAATTAGCTTTATTTAATTTATTATTTCTTTAATTAAATGAACAACTTCTATTTTAGACAAGAATTTATTACTTTAATTTAATTATTCAACTTCAAATACTTCTCTATTAAATATTTTATGAATTTTTAAACGGTTTGAAGAAAGCAGGAAAAATTAATTTATCTGAGTTTATGAAATTCAGAAGTTTAATAAAGATTATGAAAATTAGAGAAAGAATTAAATTAGAACGAAAAAGAATAAAATTAAATGATTGAGGATAGATGGAGATAAAAGTTAATGAAAAAAATTTAATTTTATGAAAGAATTATTTAATAATAAAGAGAGTTAAGTTCTATTTTTAAATATTTTAAAGTATTTTTAAGCAAAAAAGAGAAGGAGAAAATTTTTATTTATTTTAAGCTGTTTTAAGATGAGTAAATTTTATGATGAAAATTTGTATTAAACGGGTATATTTATAAACAATTTTTTTGTGAAGGGGAGTGTCAAAAAATGTGCAATTTTAATTAACATAAATTGGCCAATTACAGATTGCCTTTTGCCTTTTTTTTTAATTTTTCTATTTCTTTGTCCGTTAAAGATTGCCTCTTTTTTTCCTTTTTATTTATTTTCTTTTATTCTTTTAAAAATATTTTTTTCACTATTGCCAGCCTATTTATACAAATGTAAAAAAATTTTAAAATTTTGTGTGCTTCTTACTCCGGCCGTGCACAGCCGTTATTTTTATTTTAAAGGGAGGGAAGGAAAGGGGCTAGGTGCCAGTTGATCAGGCTAGCACCGTCGAAAAAAGAAAGAGTAAGGCACATTTTATGTAAATATTTTTTTGTATTAAAAAGATGTTCGAACATTTGTAAAAGCGCTTTTTTTTAACTTTGGAGTAAAGATTGTTTAAATTTAAATATATTTTATTTTTTAGAGACCAAAAATTGTATATTTTTGCAAAAATATATTTTTATTTTAATTTTTGAATGCGAAAAAGTTAAAGGGTTCCGAAAATAGTATGTTTTTATTTTTGAATGGGGCGAGTAAAGATTATATTTTTTTGAATAATGAATAAAATTTTAATTTATAAATAAATTTATTTAAAGGCCTAATATATTACTGTATTTATAATTTAGGGAGTGAGGGAAGCCTGGCTTATTATATTTATATTTTGTGTTTTGGAATGCCGGCTTTTATATTTATTGGGGAGAGGGCTTATTTAATTTGTATTTATATTTATGAAATGCTGGCTGTTAAATATTTTTTATAAATTTATCATAAATCGCGATATACTGAATTTATTTCTTTAAATTTCTCGGCAATCAGAATATATCACATAATTAAAAAAAATTTTCTTGGAAGTTCTCGGCAGTCAAAAAAAACAGAAAACAAATGGACGCGGAGGAAAACAAAAAATTTTTTTTATATTAATTTATGAACAAACAAAATTTAAAATAACCCAGTCCCTGTTAGCGGCACCATGTAATGTTGGGGAATGGGATGGAGGAGAATATTAAATAGGTAAGGTTCGCCGAAGGCTCCGGTTGTCCTAGTCCGTAGAAGGACTAGGGCCGGAGCCCCGGTGGGTGATTTACCCCTAGATTTTATAAAAAAGAATTAAATTTAAAAACAAATTTATTTAACTAAAACTAATAAAATCCAAATATATTGTATGGGGGAGAAAAAACAGAATTAAAATTAAGTCAGTAAAAGAAGTGATTGTTGAGAGGGTGGAAGGAAAGGCTGGTTTTATAAGCCACGCCTATGTTACACCAGTGATAAGAATTCCTTATATTAATTCAAGAGGATAATTCAATGAGCCGGGTCCTATCAGTATATTTTTGCAAGCCTAGCAGCGCCTAGGCTAATTTTTTGAATTCAAAGTTGGCGCGCTGTTGTTTCGTCCCCCTTTTGTTTCGTCCCCCTGAACAAAACTTTTGTTTCGGCCCAATGTACAAAACTTTTGTTTCGTCCCCTTTTGTTTCGGCCCCTTTTGTTTCGTCCCCCTGAACAAAAACTTTTGTTTCGTCCCACTATACAAAAACCTTGGGTTCGTCCCCTTTTGTTTCGTCCCATCTCAAAATGTCCAGCAGAGTAAAAATACTCAATTTGTCGAACTAAAAATTAAAAAAGGGGAAATCATACCTGAATATACATACATAAATTCTTCAGATATTGAAGAACACCAGGCAACCACCTCAGCAGCAATCTGTGAGACACAAGTAAAAACAAGTCCAGGACTGGATTATCTTAAATTTAAAAAATTTTAAAAATAAAAAAAAATGGAGTGGGAAGTGGAATTGGGGGAAGAAATCTCCCCAAAAAAGGCCGCAAAAATATGTAAGGGATAACGGCCAAGGGGCTTCTGGGGCTATAGCTCCCCCTTGTAATGGGGAAAATAAAAAAAATTAAAAAGCCAAAAAACTAAAAAATAAACTTGTGTCTGTAGTAGAAACCTCGCCATTTATTGTAAATTTTCGCCGTCTGAGATATCAAGAAAATTGAAGATGGATGCTCAGTGCCCGGACAATAGCTATAAAGAGTATCCTGAAGTCAAATCCCATGTTTTTTAGAGCTTTTTGTCAATTATTAACTTAGTGGGACGAAACAAAAGTTTTTGTTCAAGGGGACGAAACAAAAGGGGACGAAACAAAAGTTTTGTACAGTGGGACGAAACAAAAGTTTTTGACAGGGGGACGAAACAAAAGGTGGACGAAACAAAAGGGGACGAAACAAAAGGGGACGAAACAAAGCGTAGCCTCAAAGTTTTATTGTTACCGTATTTTCACAATTACTTGCCCATAGTTATTTTACTATTTCTCGCGAGGATTTTCAATTTTCGTTTTGATTTGCCGGTCGGTTTTGGTAGCCATAAAATTAAATGAAATCGGCAAAACCCTTTTACGATTTTGTTTTTTATTTTCAATAATTTAATTAATATTCATTAGTTTATAAAGCTGTGGATAAAAGCTTATTTAAATTAAAGGATTGTGTGAATAGAAGGTCAGCCAAGTTTTTTTTTGTAAGCCTAAAGTAGGCTAATTTTTCTTGTATTCAAATTTTTACTTTATTAAGTGCCCAGCTTAATTATTTTTTGATTTTTCAATTGAGACAGTAATTAATAGTTAGGTTATAATTATTTAGGTTATTTTAAAAACTGTATTTATAACAATTTTAAGGGAGTATTACATTTCAAGCATTTTCTGAAGGAGTAAATATTCGAGGAAGGTAATGCATAACACCGATTAGGCAATTAGTAGGTGAACTGCTCTATAACGAATTTTGTGGGATGGGGATGCGTGTTCCGGAATGGTATTCCATGTAGAATGGGTGATACGGGGAATCCCTTCCCCTACCAGATTTAAAAATTCAAAAAACCCACTTCATTTGCTTAAATATAGTGCTTTTGCCGCTTTCTGGACCACCTAGAAAAGTAAAATAAATTTATTACCAAATTGTATTTTGGTATCCAAAAATAAGCAACCCATCACATTCGGAAACGGAAGTGCCTAGTATTATTTAACTACTATTTTTAACGAGTAAATTAAATATAAATTAATACGGAGAATTTAGAAAATTCATTTTGTGCGTAAAAAAATGTCTCTTTGAGTCAAAGATAATTCTCGAAAAATTGTTCGTAAATACACACCATTGAGTAAGTTATTTAAGACACTGTGGTCTCTTATAAGTATCTCTGACTATATAACTTTGGATTGAATCCTAAGGCATGAGCATTCAAAAAATTTATTTTAATCGGATTTCTATGTATAATTAATCCAATTCACTTCCAATACACCTTACTTCAAGAGTAGCATTCAGCAAATGGATTATTTCGAAAATAATACCACTAGAACCAAAGGTACTGGCCCTGTTCGAGACAGTAAATTCTATAATCTTAATAGTACAAATAGTAGCGAAATTTTTTGGTAGTACAGCAGTTGTGTCAACCCGTGCCGAACACTATTCAAGAGTTGGGAACGTTGTCTTAATCGTCTCTACAAGGGGTTTACCTCATGATGGTTTGACTAGGGTTGGGGTTTACGAGTCAGACCGAAGTTCGAGTCATGTTTCTCGGGCC